TCATACGAAATATATATATATAATATTACAAAAGTATAGATTTATTTATTAGGCTAATGGCAGTATTATATCTATACTTTTTTTTTGTTATTTAAACGAAATTTAATATATTTACAATCTTTATTTGTATTTACAAGTTATACAATATGTAAATTCAATGAGATTTGATTGTCGGGAGAGGGAAGTCACTCAGTGGTGGCACCCCATAAATACTTATATTACAATACTTTAAGTCTGACWAGAGCTAATATCAGTTAACAGTAATATATGTTAGAGTATCAGGTATTGGTACAAAGTTATATTAGCCCATTATTACTTTTCTACTTTTGAGATCTTTGTAATTGAACTCTTCATCTGGAAATGTTAATTCAGGAAGTAATAAAATTGAATTGGATGTCTCAGCTTCTTGAACATCATAGGTCTTAGTCTCAGTACACAATACAGCAGTTTCATTATGATCTCCTTTGAATACTACACTAAAATAGTAATAAAAATAAATAAAGAAAATGAAAAGAAAATATCTAAATAATAGTCCAAAATAAAGTTGTTAAATRATCAATAACATTTTAACAAGGCATTAAGGGTTGACTTAATAAATTATGRCAATAAGGACAATTTTTATAGTTATGTGCCAATAAATTGTGATACTAACCTAGTATTAAGAGGACGCCACACCAGCATGTGTTGTCTCTGTCTTACAAGTGTGTAACATACCAAGTTTTACGCTCAACAGTTCCCGTTTAATTCCGCTAGTTTAAAACTTTGAGTGAATTGACATCTTATAAAAATTAAAGATAACATTATCTAGGTTATCACATGAGCTTTTTATTTTWATTTTAAAGCGAGTTATGAGTATTTTAAGATATACAAACAATTCACAATTTAAAAAATACTAATAACTCACTTAAAAATTAAAATATAATAAAACAGTCCATGTGATAACCTAACCTAGATAGTAATGTTACCTTTAATTTTTATAAGAGGTCAATTCACTCTAAATTTTAAACAAATACAGCTAAACGGGAACTACTGAGCGTAAAGGTTGCTATGTTACACACTTGCAAGATGGAGACAACTCATATGGGTGTGGCGTCCTACAAACTAAAATAAAAGTCAACAAGCAATTATCTGCAAAAAATGTTTATATAAATAATTTTACAAGGCTTTGATCCCAATTAATCCATTAAAAATTTAAAACATTTGATACAGAGGTTAATAAAAAATTAAAATGGGAATCATGAATTTACCTCATTTATAGTTCTATACAATATTAAATTGTTTTTAAATGTCATTTAAACACAGTTTCGAAGACATTTAAATGACACAGACTATAATACTTAATTTTGGTTATAATCAGTATATTTATATGATGGTGTTAAAATAAGTTGAAATTGTTGGACACTTAGGGAGGTACCTTCTTACTGATAATTTKAATTATTTTATTTATTGGTAAAAATGCAATTATCTGTTGATGTAAAGCCATTTTAATCATTATATAAACATAGTGCGTACAATATTAAGTATTCTTAATTATTATTGCCAATAAAAATAATAAAAAATAGAAGAACGAGTTTTGAATATTAATAATATTAATTTGTATTAAATCATACGTTTGACCACATTTGAGATCTTCCATAATGTGCTCATCCAACTCCAACAGTTTGTAGTTTTCAAACTTCTCTCCAAAATAAATAGGTTGTACATTTGGTTTAAGATCGTTTTCTGAAAGTTTTGCGTGCTCTATAACTTTTTTTACATCTTCAGCAGTTCTCATATAGCTGCTCATAAATTKAATGTATTATTTATTTATCAGTTGGTAAATCTAATATATAGCACTTACCTAGTTTCGTTTTGAGACATCTTTTAAAAGAATTTAATTTGATAATAATTGAATTAAATTGCAATAAAAATATAAAATACACATAGAAAATCTGTAATATATATGTAATAATGAGTTAAGTATTTACAATAATTACAATAATCTAATGAGTTTAACTAGACAAAATTACATTATGACAAGTATACAGAATACATGAATTAAAATAGGTAGTTATTAGTTATTACTTAACAAGTTAATACAAAATATTATTATTWAWATACAGAKRATATAATTTGTAGTTTTGTTTTTTGTATCTATAATCTGTAATTTTTAGTACATACCACATACAATATTCATGCTTTCATAAWTTTGAATGATAAATTAATAAATAAATTCGGGAACAATCAACAACGGAATACTCAATAGTTCAATACTCCATATTGATAACTGATTTATTGCCTAAAACAAAATAGCGGGAAATTAAATCACATTGCCATCAATAACTATCATCAACCATAAAACATAAAGCTAACTCATAAAACTGATAAAACCTATAAAAGAATGGACCTATATAAAAACTGTTGCSGAGCMACCACTGAAAGCACGGTTTAAGATTTCGGCGGTAGAGTTTCTTATCAAAAATATGAAAAACTCACTGCCCCGTGGCGCGATCTCGGATCTACTAAATTACCACGATACTCTTGATATTCTTTAAATTTATTAAATAATAATAATAATWAATACTACATTKTCTGTATTATAATAATWAATTATTATTATATAGTATTATAGTACCTACTTCATAATACTTTATGACTGAAAACGGTGAAAACGTAGAAGAACTTTACAATGTAATTTGTTTTGACAAATGTCAATTTTATATAGGCATTTAATAGCTTTCCAATCCAATACCAGCAGCTGCATCCTATATCGCTTTTTATGTGTATGACTATTGCTATATACTGTAGTATATTAACAGTCATACAGAATAAAATTCTATATATTATTTTCTATTTTGTGGTATGGCTAAATAGTAAATAGTGAAATGCCGTCTGGAATTATTGTTTTTGGCGCTAACATTTAGTGTTAAGCCATGTTGGCACTGGAAGCGCTAGTATCCAGTGAGTAAAAACATTTATTTGATAAGAAACTTTTTCGCCGTAATGTACCGTGCTTAGATCATAATATGTATTATGTATATGAACTAAGGTACCGTGGGATTGAATGAATCGTCGCTCAACCCAAGGTGTATCAATACACCTTGGCTCAACCATTCTATTTTAAACCGTGACTRAAAGTCTGAAAATGTTGTTTTGATTATGTCTGTGATAAGATAACATTCAAATAATTACCGCCTGAATTTAAATATTATAATCATAATAAAATAATAAATGCCAGAATCATAATATTGTAATAWGTCCTACAAAAATAATAACAATTTATTGGACATATCTATGTACAKTGTACCTTCGTGTTTAGAAATTTCCGTATTGTGTATAGGTACATAATATAAAAATACACTATAAATCTTTTACATCAATGATTTTTATTACAATCGACTATCACTTCGAATGGTAATCGGAAAAAAAATCCCCAAAGCAACTATTTAAAAAATTACAGATGCCTCTGGACCATTATCCCTCAATAATAGTCTATTATTACCCAATAATGCCCATTCACCTRTAATAAAATAGATATAATTTGTTAAGTATAGGATTTTATTTCCTAATTAAGATAATTAAAAAAAAAAAAATTATACCATAAAATTGATGGCATCAATAACAATTTCTTTGATATTTTGAGGTTCGTTCGGATCATGAAAACTTCGATGATATCTAATATTACGTTTTAAATATTCTTCCTTGGGTAATTCAGCTAAAACGTCGACATCCAGATTCTTGATTACCTCCAAAAATATTTGGCTGGGTGTATCATTTGAGGATAAAGCTTTATTTTTTATTTATTGTTTAACTTTTATGGCAGCTATAGCTATAAATAGTAACAGTCATATTTATGTAGTTATTTATACGTATTCTTATTTATACATTTATATTTTTTTCATACTTAGTACAACTTTGAATTTTTAAATATAAATTTTGTAAATGCATATTTGTTGCATATATTAATGATTTTTACTACATATTTCAATGATATATTGATATATATATATTAATTAATAATATAGGTATAAAGATATAATATAAGATAATATTATTATTTTTATTATTATAATTTAAATACTAATTAGTTGCTTAGGGGATGGATTTTTTATTATCATTATTATTTTTTTCCGGAGATTTTTTCCGGGATTCCTTCGAATATGATCTTGCTCACTTTTGATGTACATTGTTCTATGTCACTACCATCACTACCATTCAAATTACGAATGGATCTTCGCAGGAAAACATTTTTGGTGTCCGTATATAATATTGCGTACATTTCGCTCCTTTTTTGCAGCTATCAAAATGTGATAAGTGATAACATATATTCATTATAAATTATATTATTTTATTTTATTATAATTAGATTTAAAAGGTTTTATATATTGCTAAATTCAAATTCAGATAGTKAAATAAATTGAATAATACACAATTCGAAAAAAAAAACACAATATTCACTTACGGTCGTCATTTAAAGGTACAATTCAACAATTAAGAAATTCATTTTGTTTTAACTCTAAAAGAATGATATTATAATTAATGATATGAATATTAKTTTATATAATACTATAGAACTATCTATATTGGTGCCTATTCAAAAAGTATTAAATTTAAATGATGTTCAAGATTCTGTGAAAGGWACAATATTGAAACGCTTATACTATGAGTGTTCAATTATGGCCTATGGGCTAAATAGTTAGTAAAATGTATTTATAATCCAATTTTATATTTGAAATACTGGACAAGATGATTTTGCATTAAAAAAAAAAAAAAATACAAAATATACTAGCTTAATTATAACATTTGTATTATATTTTCGCAACGAATTGTGTATTATTAAATTTATTTAACTATTGATGTAAATACTATTTTAATTTGAATTTAGCAATATATAAAATCATTAAATCGAGTTATAATAAAATATAGTATTATAATTTATAATGAAAATGATGTTATCACTTTTTGACAGCTGCAAAAAAGGGGCTAAATGTATGCAATATTATAAACGGACACAAAAAAATTTTTCCTGCAAAGATCCATTAGTTATCACGTCGTTTTGATATTTTACTGTTATCATCAATAGACAYGATAAGCCAATAACAACTAGGTTACGTTACAATCATAGAGTAAAATGTTACAAGTTTTTTTTTTGAACAACTAACTTGTCTTCTCAAGACAAGAAGTTAAAAGTAAATCACAATTAAAAATAASACTATTGTTTTTTGTTTGTATAGGCATTTTTGAATAGATCTATTCTCAATTTTGACAATTCTGTCATGTTGATAGGAATAACAACTTAAAACTTAACAATATTATTTATACTACAGTTCACATTACTTAATTCATTTTGATGAAAATCACTCGGTAATAGGTTTGTAATCTAAGGGATTAAGTGAAACGATGAGAAAATACCAACAGTTGCTTTTGGTGMTCGTGTCATTTTTCAGTGTCTTTACACTGTTGTTGTACAGGTATGAATATATGCAGCTTTTGAATGTCTTGGAAGTGCTTAATTTTTTTGGTTACACAGCTGACAACATAACAAATTGTGTTCTACTGGAGGATAAGTTCTATGTGGATCTGGATAACGATAATTTGTTAGCGAAACCACCTGTATTTTGGATCAAACACGATCAGTACTATGCGTATTCTGCCTTCTGGTCCTCTCAAAAACAGTCTGTTAATTTGCTAATTTTGGGCCCAAGATCAGGATTCTCTGATTATGAATGTCGTGTGTGGTTTAAAATGGCAGATCAATTTATTTCCAAGCCAGCAAAACTTTCGTATAGTATTAAAACTAATAATCACGATCCAAATTTTCATCAATATGAGGTTCATTGCAAGCCTGAAAACATTCCTACCAACACTGAACCATATGGAGTTTTACTGGGACGTGAAMATTTTTTAAAACTGTTCATACCAATCAATATTCAAAAAGAATCTCTCATCAAAGATGATCTGATTATGTGTATTGCACCAGATTATTCCGGCATTTCTGATACATATCTTGTGGAATTCATTGCATATCACTCACTATTGGGTGTTCGTCATTTTGTTGCATATGATATTGGCATACACTATAAAGTTCTTCAATTTTTACGTTCAATTGCTGGCCACAGAGACATGTACAAAACTTTTTCCACACTCTCTTGGCAGTTCCCTACGACAGATTTACAATTAGAAAGGTCAATTTTACTAAAAGATTGTATACAAAGAACACAAGGTCTTGCTAAACATAGTATTTTATTATCATGGAATCAGTACTTGATACTAAACAAGGATAAACTTAATTCCTTAAAGAACAACATAGACTATACATTTGAAATGAAGAAATGTTGTAATAACCGGCAGTTAAAAAAATCCTGGCCCATGGCTATGAAGAAAACAATATGTGAAAAGACCAACAAGACAATAAATACCATCATTGATGATCAAACAATGAATCACCAACCACCAACAAAAATGGGATCAATACATAGCTTGGAAGAAATATGTGAAAAAAACAGTGGTAAAGATGATAAAAGTATGGCAAAGTATTTAATAAATTTTGTTAATAGTAAACTGTTGATGTTATGGAAATCTCAATTAAGATTTTCTATTACTCATATAACCAATAACAATGTGATTAATCTGTAAAAATTATTCTTGAATTTATTTCGACTGTAACATTTAAAAATTATATGCATAATATATTTTTTTTAAAGGATATTTTATACAAAATCAAATAAATATTACTATTTTAATATAATTGAAGTAATGTGCTGTCTTATTTTTAAATTTCAGTTTCCAAAAAACATAAAATGTAAATATTTAAATTAATAAAACAAAAAAAAAAAAAAAAAACAAGTAAACTAAAATACTTTAATATTAACCAAAACGTTGGAAGATCACAGCGTTCAATAATCCAGCTTCTGACAATGTTTGATCATCATTATCTAATGTTTTTGGAGGGTATGATGAYTGCAATTTAAATGGTCTAGAACCAAAACTAGATCTAGCACTGATATAAAAATCAGTTAAGAAAAATATTTAATWAATCAATTAACTTCTAATAATAATTTTAATATTTTAATAACTATTTTTCCAACACATAATATTACCCATAAAAACAATAAACAAATATATGTATACATCTAATAATAATAAAAATAGGGATGGATTAAATTAAAATTTTCTTCAAACTTTAAAAATGTAATAGAAGTAAAATGAAATAGTAAATTGTCTATGTTCCAAAAAAATTAAAAATAATCTGCTATTATGTTTGAACGCGTGAATATGATTTTGCAGTTACTATGATACTCGTCAAACATCATATTATAACATATTTAATAACTATGTTAGATAGTTTAGTTTGCTGTTTACCAAAATAAAGCATTCATAGAAATTTAGTATTTAATATCTATAATGTCTACTTTATAAATTATCAATTAAGAATATAGATTAAGTAATCTACTTATTATCTTGCTATGGATGTGGATTTTTACTAATAAGTAAATAGTCTATTCATAGAACCTATAACGTAAGAGAAATATATAWATTGTTACTTAATAGATATACAATAACAGTGATGAAATTGAACAAATAGTGGATTTTAATGAAAAAATAATTTTTTAAAGTAAATAGCATATCGCATGAGTACYCAAACTTATTAGAATGTTTGAATTTAAACTTATAATTAATTTAGACAAATTTGAGAACTTACCTTAAAAAAACACATAAAYCTACATAATTTAAATTTACTCATCACAGTGTAAATAAGTTATACATCATAGCTGTATAGTTATTCTTGTTTATCAATAATTATTACCTTTCAAATAATTTTAATTAAAAAGGATACGCTACAATGTAACGGCGAATATCTCCAATAGTATGACTATGGTTAAATGTGGCAACAATTCTTGTACCATCTACTAATCTGATCTGTAATGAAGTGGTTGGAGCATCTGGTATTAAAGGAACTTCAGCACGAGCAACAGCTTCATTGGCAACACCACTGTCAGAAGTAATTTCTTTTGAGACTTCATTACCAACAACATCTGGTGCAGGGCTACAAAACCATTTTTGTGAAAACGCATATTGAATTTAATAAAATGTATAAAATTACCTTCCCAACAAATTTCCAGATCCTCCAAAAATTTTTTTCTTTGGTTTTGATGGAATATATTCTTCATATCTRTGATCTTCGACGCTAACATGAAGTTCATCTTCACTAGACACATTAGCCTCTTTCAAAAGTAATGGAGGAATCTCTTCTCTAAAATAACAGAGCATAAAAATAAATAATTAAATTTGTTTCGTGCGTAACATTAAAATTCAKGATATATAAAATTGAACATTGATAGTTATGGATTAAAATACTATGATCAAAAACCGTCTGAACACCTAAATTTACAAACTAGGTCAAGTTAACTAAAAATTTTAGTATTATCAAAAACTAAAAATATAAATGTCAAAATAATAGACAGTGGACACTAAATTGTTTGGCTCAAATATTTTTAACAATATATTACTAACCCTCTAGCTACCATAAGTAGAAATTCTCTATTTTCTGGTCGATCAATGCTGTGCAATTCACCATCATTGATAGTGAATCCTTCTTTCCATACCTTTAAAACAACTTCTTCTTGATTGGATGAACGTTTAGTAGTAGCATTATGAGATGGAATGACTAAAATCAAAATACAGAAATTAAAACACGCATTAATGAGTGTAACAACTTAATACTTTAATAGTATTCAACAGACCTTCAGTGTCATTTTCAGTTTGGCCTAATTTATAACCAGTACCAAAGAAATTTGATGGACCACTGTCATGTGTGGAACTACTACTACCACTTGGTGCCGAAGTACTAGCATACCTTGAACAAATTTAGTTTTTATGTGAAAAAATCTCAAATTTATGATCTAGATTTTTTTATACTTCTGTGCTGTTTGAAACATATCAGTGATAACATCAGCATTGTTGCGCGGAGGTCCAATTACTTGTTGACCGCTTGTGATTGATCCCCCAGCATAGAACCTTTGACCTTCATCTTCATCACTGTCTTTATCTTCAACTTCAGCATTCTTCAAACTACTGAATGTCATTATTCTAAAAACAAATAACAATCATGTAGTATAATAATAGTAGTTTACTTGATTTATTAATGGATAGTATGTCTACCTAAGATTCAGAAGAATGAATTTTAATTACCTCGATTGTGGTTGCCATTTTTTCGGTTTTGCTAATGGTTTATAACTCGATTTGCTTGCCATTGGTACATCTCTATTTGATGCAACTGATGGCCTCGATGAGGATTGTCCAGCATTTTCGTTAGGAGGTTCATCATCAGCACCTTCGTCATAAAAGCTAGCCAATGCAGCCTATAAATACATAGTAAAAATATCAATATTATGAACACCATCACGAAACACAATTTTGGTTATTTCATCTTTACATCCATTCTCCAGGCGGCCGATTCTAAATAAAATTTCGCTCTTTCTGGATCTACATTAGTTATGCCAGCAAATTCGTTGACCTTGTTGCTTTGCTCTGACTCGCTCATTGTGTTATTGGTTTTAGCAAATACGAAATAAAATATAAAGGAAATCGTGCACAACAACTGCAGTATGGATTTAATATTTAAATATACGKATAAAATATATTAAAATCCATTAACAAAAGTCAATAATACAAATGTAACTTGTTTATCTCTTACTATTACCCACAAAAAGCGCTTGTAATCAATTTTTTTTTTGTTTTTCGTTTGAATCCTTGATGTAACCTAAAATATTCAATCAGTGTAGCCACGAAAATATCTCRTTTAATGTTTTGTTACCTCACTATTTAATGTTGGCGCGTTGCCGAAGTTAGGCCAAGACAGACAATTTATGATAGTGAGCACTGGAAAAGCACTGGATATTGCAATTATAGTATGTTGCTCGCCACTCGCCAGTCGCCACTCGCCAGTTCGGTGGTTCGGTCCAGTAAGTCCAGTTGAAACTGTTGAAAGCTTGCTTGCTTCCAGCTCCAGTCCTCAGTTTATCACTCTGTCGACGGTCACTCTTATTCCTCAGTCTTCTCTATCWTAATTCTTACCACGCCTCCGTGGCTCTGTACGGCGTGCATTAAACCACCAGTCCAAACAAAACAAATCAAATAAAAGACTGATAACTTCAGTTTACACCTGTTATTGCGTTATCTCCATGAAACAACATCAATATTCATTAATTCATTATTCAATGCTATTAAAGTATTAAATTAGTATTTAGTATTAATTATTATTGCTATTCAATATTAAATWACTTAAATCTATTTAATTTTGTATAATATTTAGTTACTAGAATAGTTATTTGATTATTATTTATTTGTTACTCTCTCTTTCTCTTTTAATCATATTGAATAATATTACTTTCTGTGTTAAAATTGAAGATACCTACTTTTGTCATCAGATATGGCCGACGCTTTTGACAAACTTCGTATGATGGAAGACGAAATGAACAAGTAACTGAATTTACATTATGCTTATATCGATTTTTTATAATGGTTTAATGTTTATTTTAGATTTGAAGAAGAAATTGGGATACCTAATTATATGGACACACCTGGTGCTCAATCATACGGTAACTTAAATAAATTGATAAAATATATAAATATCTTACCTCAAAGTTCATATTAGATACAATATTTATGAAAAAATTACTTTTAAAACATATTATTTAGTTATAGAARATATCTATCCCAATTTCCGATTAATACCCATCTAAAKTTCTAGAACTGTTTGTGATGTAGTAATGAAGAGAAATCAAGTCTTGTAAGTTTTGTATTCAACTAAAGACAAAGGTGCTAGTCATCAAACCATATTTTAATTGATATATTTATTCATACAAATTACTGAATCCTATATGATATACATAAATAGTGATGATTTAAATGAAATAAAAATAATTTGAATTCCATAWTATTTTTCATAAAATGTTTAACAATTTTCAGTCTTTTATTACATAGTTAGAATTACAGTGTTATAAAATAACAATTTAATGGTTGTCAATATTTATAAAATTATGATTTGTGATACACATTCATTACTAGGGCCCGGAATCTAATACACTTGCAATGTTTTTTCTTTTAATTTTATACAATACCTTGTATGAACTATGAATATTGCGAATATTGTGTTATTTTTATAATTTTCATATATTTCACTTAATTACACAGGCTAAGATAAATGTTATAGCCATTTCTTATCATTATCACTTAAATGTTAGTTGGTTTGTGGTAAATAAAAATGATATAAACAAAAAAAATTGAGTATTCTAAAAGGGTACCTATATGATTTTTTCAWTATTATCAATAGTTTCATTGTATCCAACCTGAAAGCTTCTAAAATTTATAAAATGAAATACTCTACGTTAATCCTCTTACGGTCTACCATTTTGATAAATTTTTGGGTACTTTTCGGTTATCGTACCCCAACGGTTGGCCGGCCGACTGCAGCGGCGGTCRGGATATACCGATTCCGTTCTCGTACCCCATTATATTTATCTCAATATTGTCAAGTTTCATTGCCATACAAATAAATAAATAATTGCCAAAAATATAATTTATTTTAATAAAATAATATAATATGAAATTATATGAATACAAAGAAATTATAATAAAATATGAATACCAATAAAGTTTAATAAAACATCAATACAAAAAAAAAATTATGATCAAGTATTAATACCAATACAATATGAATACCAAAACAATTATTTTAATTGAAAAATATTTTTATGATGGAGGCATTRAGATAAATATAATGGGGTATGATAGCGAAATCTGTATATCTCGACCGCCGCCGCATTCGGCCGGCTGACCATTGGGGTACGATAACCAAAAAGTACCAATTTTTGGTATATTTGCAGTTTAGCTACCAAGCGATTTTTTTTTTTATTGAAACATGTATTTCAACGAGTTTAGAACGATGGTGCAAACCATTATTTTGGAAGTTATAGCCTTCCAAAGTATGCGGTTGTATGACGAATAGTACGTATTGCAGCGTGTGGCACGCTTATCATATAACACAACAGCTGTTGACTTATGTTACTCTTAGGGTCTTAAGTCTCTAACTGGCCATCTAGTATGGCGACCGAAGCCGGTAGGCCGAGGGAGGTCCCTCGAGTTTGGCGACCGGAGCCGGCAGGTGAAGGGAGCCACTTTACTTTATAATTTTGTTATTTAACTCTTAKCTCTGTTTTTACCTTGAAATTTAAGTAAAATTATTTGAATGCGAGAGTACTTCATGAAACACATCACAGAATCTACCTAGTTAATATAATTATAATCCTAATAAAAAAAAAAAATTAAAACATTGTAATACGCATGCTTATAAAAAAAACCATAAAATCACATACTTTGAAAAGACTATAACTTTCAAAATTATGGTTTGCACCAACTAATTTTTGCACCATCGTTCTTAACTCGTTGAAATACATGTGTTTCAATAAAAAAAATCGAAAAAATCGCTTGAGAGCTAAACTGCAATTGCTCCAAATTTTTAATTATTAATTATTAATACAACTTAATTTACTTATATTTAAAGGAACCAAAAAATTTGAGTTATCTAAGAATAATAAAACAATAAAAAATTCTAGGGACCATGAAAAAGATCAAGGTATTAGCGATTTTGAGTTAACCAAGTTTGACTTTGTAAATAAAATTTGACATAGTACTAATCAATATAATGCAGAA